AGCTGTCATTGTGCCCCAAGGTATTCCGGTTTTTTTCCTTCCTCAAGCATGCTATTAAGGCTTCTGCGTGGATGCCCTCACCTGTCAAACATTCCAAGTTCTGGCCCAGCGGCCTTACCTGACCGCCTAGCTACACCTATGACCTATTTCTGACCTCATTCTGCCCTTGTCTGAGCCACTCCCTGGCAAGCCCACAGCAGAGCTACTGAGATTTATGTCACTTTTCAGATGTGCGGTCTTAGCCGCCTCCTGGGAAAGACTGTGAGCCTCAGCTTCCCCATCTGTAAAATGAGGAGGTTGGGCCAGGCCATTTCTAACCACTGTAATTCAATGCATTTCTGCGTCCCTGTTATGCATATGTGAGGTGGGAAAGGGAGGTGGGGAATGCGTGTTGAATGACTCATCACTATTCTGATGACTTTCTCCTCTGGCTTCTCACCATTTTCCCTCATGCTGACTTGGAGTCATTCTATTGAGCTGATGGAGGGATGTTAGCCTTTACTCACTAGAAGCAGCCCTGAATCAGCGGAGGTCGTGCCCACAGAGCCTTCGAGAAGCTCGGGATCCTGTGCAGGAGGGGCGGCTGGAACCTCACTCTCTGTGCCCATTTCCAGGCACTGGGGCCTCACGGGGCCCGAGAACCAGTGAGCCTCTGGGTTTCCAGGGGAAACAGTGTGGACAGCTGATAGCACGCTTGTCCTCATAGAGACAAGCCAGGGCAGAGGTGAGGGGCTGACAGGGAGGCTCCTGCTTCTAGCTCTGCAGTAAATTAAACTTCAGACTGGCTCTGGCAGCAGCAGGGATGGTGCCTCAGGGTGTCTGGGTGATAAGGGAGGGGGTGGCACTTAGTTTAGCTCTAATACGTTCGCTGTAGGAGACACAGGGATCTATAGGAACAGAGGAGGGCGATGCTGTGGGAGCTTGCTGCACGAGAAAGGCAGAGATGGAGATAAGATACTTGAGCCAGGAGGGAAGGGATGGCCATGCGGGGAGGTGACCTGATAGGTCTTGTCCAGCCCTCTTATTTCAGATCTGTGGGCTGCGCAGAGGGAGCTGGGAAGTCAAACATCAAGAAGCCTGAGGCAATGATGGTGACCAGGCAAAGAGGTAGAGGGGATTAGACGAGGGTCTGAGGAAGCTTTACGGGTGACCCTCACTTTAAATAAACCCACTATATGAAAATCTATGTGAACCAGATAGAAGCGGGGTGGTTTGCTACTTGTATCTTTCCAGTGTCCAGGTTGTTATTAACACCCCATGTGATACTTTCCATCTCCCAGCCTTGCTTTCAACTATCAAATGAGATGGTTGAACTCCAGCATCTTTAGTTTTACACTTCATCCTCTTTGATTCTGAAATTGCCATTGTTTCCCTTGAATGACACGCCCGTCCCAAATGTGACTCATTATTTGTGCAGAGTTTTTGAAACTCACCTATTGCCCTATTGCCGAGAGTGGGCACAAGAGTACCCTGTAGGATTGCTACCACCTCCATTTAGATCAGAGCCTCTGCTTTCCGCAACCAAGGATGTCATCACTAGGATCTCTTTTATCCCCTTGAAGTGGAGTCTCGGGGCACCGGGTGACAGGTGTGAGGTTGGGGGCATTCGTCAGGGCCCCAGAGCCACTCAAGTAGTTTTACATTAACAATGCAAATCAACCCCAGGCCACCAGCCCAGGGAAGACGCAGCCACCATGAGATGGAGCAGTAGCTGGCTCTGGGAGGCACACAAAGGCTCGGTGCTGTCAGATGCATCAACCCAGAAAACGGGGAAGAGAGGGGAATATCCAATTATGATCGAGGCCCCACGAGGCACCTGACATTAAGACAGGCGGTGTGAGAGGAGTCCGGGAGGTAGACGGTGCTGCCAGGTAGGGATGGCTGAACTCTGAGACAGGGAGAGAGACATGATGGTAAGACGGGGAGGAAGCCAGCTCCAAGGTGGGGAGGCGGTGGTGGTGAGAGAATAAAGCCAACAACGAAATCCATAGCTGCCACTTACTAACTACCTGGTATGTGCACGGTGCTAAGGAACTCACCTGCACTGTCTCCTGTCCTGCTCCGAATGACCCTAGGAGGTGTTATTACCATCACCTCATTTTACAAATGAGGAAACGGAGGCACGAAATGGTTAAGCAGCCTGTCCACTGTCACACAGCTAGTAAACAGCAGAGCCAGGATTGAAACCTGGTCGGTCTGATCCTAAAATCCATGTTCCTACTCTTTATACCACAGTCTCCCCAACGTAGGGATCGCAGAGATGTTGTTCCTCCTTCATCTGGGGATCCTGCCTCCTTTTAACCTCCTTCCCCCATCCCGCCACTGACCCCCCAGTCCCGCCCCATCCCGCTTCAGCTAAACGCGGTAACCCACCACCCACTCTCCCCCTTATTGTGGGAGGGAAAGAGCAAGCGGGGCTGGAAGCTTTCTATGAACTATCTGGGTGGTGTTTAAAATCCACTGTGGGAGAGCAGCTCAGGCTTTAGATGAAAAGCCTTTGGGGTAGAAAGATCCAAAAGCCCTCTTTTCTAACAAATGCTAATCATGCCTCAAACACAGTGAGATGTAAAAGCTGAACCAAGGGCCACGTGTTAGTAAAATACTTGGTGCCTAAAAGAGGGGCCTTAGAAAGATGCTCCAAAGCTCTGTAATGTGGAATAAAGATATCAGTTTCCTTTCTTCCCCTGATTCATCCAGCTTAATATTTTAGATGTATTGACTCCACTAAGCCTGGGTCATTGGGAGAAGAAATTTACATCTCCTAATGACCCCCATCCTCAGTGGGCAATCCATGCTTTCTGTTCTGCGAAGGAAACCCTGAGGAACCAAAGAAGAAGAAGGGGAAGCTGGTTTTTCAAAGAATAGGCTACAGAACTATTTAGCCATCTGACCCCCTGTCTGCGACCTGCCCTCATGGACAAAAAAGAAACACTACAATACAGACAGGACCAGGAGATTCATGAGAAGTCATTGCTGGTATTTCTGCTTTCATTTTGAAGATCCTGAGAAATCTGAATCTTCCTTTTGTTGGACTAGAATTTAACCTCTATGACAACTAGAATTTCTACTTGTGCCCTGCTGAATCCCCATTGCCTAGGATAGAGTACAGCAGGCACTCACTAAATATTTATTGACTGACCAAGTGAATAAATGAATGACAATTCCAGGTACCGTTTCCACCATGCCTTCTTCTGAAGGAATCTGTGTCCATAGATCCTGCTGGCCTCAACAACCCTGTTTTGTGTGATAGAAATCCACCCTCAGTCTTTCGGAGTGGACTTTCTCCCCAAGGGTAGCTCTTAGGTCATCTGGTCAATGCCTGTGGCTTGTGAGACAGGACCAATCAGTGGACTTTCTCCCCAAGGGTAGCTCTTAGGTCATCTGGTCAATGCCTGTGGCTTGTGAGACAGGACCAACCAGATCCTCTACCTTGTCTCTAAACCAAGAGGCACTGAGGGAAGCTGCACACTGAAGAGAGACTGTAAGCCACCTGAGGGCAGGGACTGTGTCTATCTTGTTTTCTGCATTGCTCCCAATGCATGATATCCTGAGTCAGTCCTGAAATAGAGCAAATGCTCTATAAAAGTTTCCTGAATGGATAAACAAATTGTCAGCTGGGCCTGGATGGCCATTACGGGACATGATGAATAAACCAGGGAAACCAAAGTAGCAGAGAGGGAAGAGCATGGATCCAATACAACAAGAGCACTAAAGACGCTGTGGGACAGACAGAGAGCCACTGCCTTCCTCCCGTCCTGCTCTCTTTGGATCCATACAATATCCTACCAATTGTACTTAAGCCAGTGTAAATGTGTTTCTTCTCTTGCAATATTAATAACCCATACGAGAGCATCGCTGGACCCACATGCAGACGACCAGATGTCTGACATGTATATTTGAGCGAGTTGTTCTTTAGTCTGGTTTGGCTTTGCCATTGAGTGTCATTAAAGGTTGAAATGGGCTAGAAAGGGAGGAGATGGGACTCCAGAGCCTTAGGGAATGGAGGCCATCATCTCTCTGGGCTGAGGGTCTCCCCCTCTTTCCCTCTGAACTGGAGTTGTTCATTTCCAGCTTTGCTACAAGCCACCACCCCACTAACCCGGAAGCTCATCCTGTAAAGTCATCAAAGTAATACCAGCCACACACCAGAGAAGTGCAGGGGAGGTGGAGTGGATGGGACACTAGACGTGCAGGGTCGTGATGCAAGTTCAGGGTCCAGGATTTGCTCAGCCATTGACTAGCTCTGGGGTTATCCAATATCTTTGAGCCTCAGTTTCTTTGGTAAAGTGGGAATAATAACACTTAACTCTCTGGTTGTTGGGAGAATTAAAAGCAGTGCCCAGCACATGGGAGGGGCTCCGTAAGTGTGACTGGAGTGACCGACTGAGTATGAATGTAAAGCACTACAACTCACACAGGATTTTCCTATATTGCAAGTCATTTAAATCTCACAATGACTTGCAAGATTTGCAAAGTAGACCTTAGTGTTCCCATTTTACAGGTGAAGAAACTGAGGTTAAACAGAATCACTGACTTGTCCAAGGTTACCCACAGAGTGAGTGGCTGATGTCCAGCCCAAGTCTCAGCTTCTTCCCGCAACACTGCCCTCAGCAAAAGAAAGCAAGACAGGAAACAGATGTGCCATGACTATGCTTCCCTGGGGCTGGCTGAATCTCTCCTTTCTTAATCCCATATAAGGTTTCATTCAGGGATCTGTGTACAAAATGTCCAGGAGATGAATGAATCAATATATGAAGGAATGAATGAGTGGGTAAATGAAGGAATGAATGAATTCCCTGTCTTAATTCTAATCCACACATGATTTGCAACAAAACCTGGGATCTTGTCTAGACTAAGCCCTATAGGGCTTCCTGGTGCATGTTTCTCTTCCTCTCTTGGGAATATCTACATCACAGGCCCGGCAATGGGTGCGGCTCACAACGCCAGCCCCTCCTCTGCCAGCAAGGGAAGCAGAGGGCAGCCCTGCCCATGCTACGTACTGGTTTCTGCAGTCTCGTACTCGCTGTCTCTGAGAAGCTCAAAGATGTCCACTTCGACCTTGGCCTTGCCCAGCCTCTCGGGAGCACGGTTGATGCGGTTCTTGGCCAGGGTGATGGACAGCCGCTCCCCTCTGCTGCACTCCATGGGGTCATCCAGGATAGCAGCTGTGGGCAGGCAACCACATGGACACAGTTGGTACCCTCTACCGTTACGCGTCCTCCTACTCCAGTCTCCCCCCCGTGCCGCCTTCCACCTCCACCCTGCCATCCTCAGAACTGTCCCCAAAGCAAGTCCCCTGCATGCTAAGGGTCTAGGTCTGTAGCCAGGTGTGGCGGTGAACTCTAGTGTGGCTAGTCACCTCAGGGACACTGTAATGCCACGGCAGGCCACCAGGGGCCCTACCTGGAAGAGGTCCCCAGGCTCAGGCATAGCGATACCCTTGGATCTAGGTTTACCTGCACACATGGGCACACGTGTGCAAAGGGAGGGAGATGGCAGCAGTCCTTTGAAAATGGTATTCTGGGCATATGAGAAACTCTCCTTGAGGTGATCTAGGGTTGAAGGAGGCCAGGTTTGAGAGGGAGACCTGTGGTATCAGGACCCGCTACAGGGCCCTGCTGAATGCCTGTTGTCCACCGATGACACATGTCACCTAGTGAGCTACATAGTTTCTATGAACTTCTGTCCTCACTGAACATGGGGAAGAATAAGACAACCTCATGGGGCTGGTGTGAGAATTCAGTAAGACAATGTATATAAGTGGCACACCCTCAAAATTTAATCAGTGTGACAATCAGTGTGAATGGCTGGAGTGGTGTGGTACCAATAGCTGCCCAACTTCTGGAAGCAGTATTAAGGATACGTGTTAACCTGAGTTCAAATCCCAGCCCCGCCCCGTCTTAGCTATGGGGCCTCTGTCTCCTCACTTGTAAAATGGGGAGAGAGCCTCTTCTTTGGGCTCCAGTGAAGATGACATGGATAATGCGTGTGAAGCGCTCAGCGCAGTATCTGGTGCACAGCACACACTCAGTAAATCTAGCCATTGATATCATTCATTCTCTTGGTAGAGGAAGTTACACAATTGAAAATCTCTGCACAAAAACTTGTACACAGCAGTGTGGGTGAAGGGATAAATTAGGAGGTTGGGATTAACATATACACACTGCTATATATAAAATAGATAACCAACAAGGAGCTCCTGTATAGCACAGAGAACTATACTCATTAGTTTGTAATAACCTATAAGGGAAAAGAATCTGAAAAAGAATATATATATATATAACAGAATCGCTATGCTGTATGCTTGAAACTAACACTATATTGTAAATCAACTATACTTCAAATTAAAAAACTAAAAACAAAATATGTGCTAAAAATAAAGTTACTCTGTCTAAATAATAAAAAAAACTTGTATACAAATGTTCCAAGCAGCATTATTCATAATAGCCAAAAAGTGGGAAAGCCCAAATGTCCATCTACCGATGAGTGGATGAACAAAAATGTAGTATATCTATACAATGGAATATTCCTCAAAAACAAAACGGAATAAAGTACTGATTATGCCACAACATGGATGAACCTTGAAGACATTATGCTCAGTTGAAGAAGCCAGACACAAAAGGTCATGTGTTGAAAGATACCATTTATATGAAATGTCCGGAATAGGCAAATGGAGACAGAAAGTAGATTAGCTGTTGCCCAGTGGCAGTGGTGGTGGTGAGTGAGGAAGCTGGGGAGAAATGGAGAGTGACCACTAATGCCCATAGTGTTTTTGGGGGGATGACAAATATGTCCTAAAATTGATCATGGAGATGGCTGTACAACTCTGTGAGTATACTAAAAAACGCTGAATTGTATACTTTAAATGGGTGAATTGTGTGTTCTATGAATTATATCTCAATAAAGCTGCTACAAAAATAAAGATCAAGCTTATCTTGCAGAGCTTGAAGCCGCAGAAGAGCAACACAGAGAATCAGACCAAATAGATTTCGCTGGCACGTGGCCCTTGAATCTCTGTGGCTGGTATGGACAGAGACCCAGTTTCTATGCCATCTTTTCTGTATAAGGTTCCCATATCTCCTGTGACCCATTTTCCAAACCAAAACCAGGACACAGAATATGACAAAGCACTTTTTTTCTGATTTGTGGATTTATTTATAGGCATAGCCTTACTGAACAACAGAAATTAGATTTCATTTACACGGGTTGGCCATACATGGGGCCACAGAGGTACATCCCAAGAACTAGGCGATAAAGTAGGCTTCTGTGAGTTAAGTAGCAAAGTCCATGCACACCTGATAGGATTAGCCCCCTGAGGGAATGGACAAAGGACTGGTAAACGTATGACTGAAGAGCCCAGAGACACCTAAAATTCCTACCCAGATCACCTTAGGGAAGCAAGACCAGAATGAGATTATTACTTAGGAAGCAGAAATGTGAACAATTACACTGTGCTGTCCCAGGAAAGGAAGACTTTGGGAATAGAAGGAAAGTGGGGCAGCCCAGAGGAGCGATTCTCAAATGGTGTTCCCTGGAGGGCCCCTGGGTTCCTTCAAGAAGCAGAGGGGAAGGCTGAAGGGAGGTCTCTAGCCCCACACCAATTTCAACCAGCACAACTCCACATCCATCAGTTTTAGATATCGGAGTTCTCCAAAATACACGTTGTGGGGAAAAGAAAGGTTTCACTCTTAAAAATATAATAGAAACCATTAACCCAGCCCTGGAGCATAGAAAAGAGACATCTAAAGTGTCAGGAATTGGCAGTGCCTTCCTGCATGAGTCACAGGAAAGAGGCACCGGGTCCATGGGATGCTAGCCTCATGTTAATAGGTGCACATTTATCCAGTGACAACGTCAGGGTGAGTCCTAGTGGACTTACCTAGTCTCACTTACTGTCTGCAACAACTCTGTGAGATAAGAGTGTTATCGGTGTCGCCCTCACTCGGGGATGAGAAAACAGAGGCCACAGCGGTCAAGTGGCCCGCCCTCGTTCACAGGGCTGGTGAGGGTAGGTGACGGAGGGGATCCCAGGTCAGTTTCATATGGACCCTGCATTCTTAACCACAGGTCACATTCCTTCTAATGAAATTCATCTTCCCAGGGGTTTGCTGCTGAGAAGGGAGTAGGCTAGGTAGGTGTGTCTTGGGCAGCTCACACTGCTATAAGAAAACACCATAGGGGCTTCCCTGGTGGCGCAGTGGTTGAGAGTCCGCCTGCCGATGCAGGGGACACGGGTTCGTGCCCCGGTCCGGGAAGATCCCACATGCCGCGGAGCGGCTGGGCCCGTGAGCCATGGCCGCTGAGCCTGCGCGTCCGGAGCCTGTGCTCCGCAACGGGAGAGGCCACAACGGTGAGAGGCCCATGTACCACAAAAAGAAAAAAAAAAAAAAAGAAAAAAAAAAAGAAAACTCCATAGCGTGGGTGGTATTTATTTCTCACGGTTCTGGAGGCTGGGGAATAGGAGATCAGGGTGCCAGCATAATTGGGTTCCAGGGAGGTCCTGCCTCCTGGTTTGCAGATGGCTATCTTCTCCCGATGTCCTCACACGGCAGAGAGAGGGAGATCAAGCTCTCGGGTCACTTTGAAAAGGGCACTGGGGTCTCACCTTCAGGACCTCTCCTAAACTCAATCACCTCCCAAAGTGGGGAGGGATAAATTGGAAGTTTGGGATTAGCAGATACAAATGACCTTCTATAAAATGGGTAAACTACAAGGTCCTGCTGTATGTATAGCACGGTGAACTATATTCACTATCTTGTAATAAACCATAATGGAAATAAATATATATAAAACTGAATCACTTCGCTGGACACCAGAAATTAACACAACATTGTAAACCAACTATACTTCAATTTAAAGAAAACCGGTGTGTGCTATGGACTGAATTATGTCTCCCCAAATTCCTTTGTTAAAGCTCTAATGTGTGCATTTAGAGAGATAGGACCTTTAAGGGGTAATTAAGGTTAAATGAGGTTATAAGTGTTGGGCTCTGATCGCTTGGGATTGGCATCCTTATAAGAGACAACAGAGAAGGTTCCCTCCCACTTTCTTCCACCCCCAAGGCAGGAAGCAGGCTGTCACCAGGAACTGACCCTGCAGCACATTGACAGCAGACTTTTAGCCTCCAGAACTTGAGAAATAAATGCCCCTTGTTGAAGCCACCCAGCCTGTGGTATTTTATTATGACAGCCCAAGCTGACAAAGACAATGTGCTAATTAATATAAACCCTCACACGCAGGACGCCAGCCAGCCATGTGACACCACACAGTGAACTTACAGAGCGTCACCAGACACACTTTGAGACAGAGGGATCATGGCTGGGGGTGGGGAGAGGGGATGGCAGGGAAGAGAGAATGTGGGAATGATACACTACGGGGCACATGAGGTCCCCTCGGTGCTCAGCACTCAGGACTCTGCCTTCAGAGGTACCTGGCAGGTGCTCACCAACTCACTAAGATCCACAGTCCTGCCCTCCCTCCCTCGCCAGCCCCCGTGCCATTCTGGGCACCACTTTTTCATTAGGTTTTAGGTTTTAGACACTAATTAATTTCTGGCTGGGAACAGCCTCGGCTGGGTGGTTGGCTGGCATCAAGCATACTGGAATCAGAATAATTAGGATGACCACAGGAGCCAGATTCCAGGGCTGGGGGCAGCAAGGATGAGGTACAGGCTCAGGCCTTCTAGGGACACCAGAGGAGCATGTCCGCAGCAGGCATTACGGAGCAGCATCCCTGCTGTCCAGCTCTCACCTGCGGGGCCCGGGGGTGAAGGAGAGCAGCTGGCACAGGACTGAATGTGTGGCCGCTGCCCCTAACCTTCAGCCCCAGGCCTGGCTGTCGGGCTGGGCCAGGATGCTGAGTCCCCAGCCGCTGCCTAAGGAGGAGTCACGTCATCTGGCACATCCTCCACCCCCGCAGACAAGTCAACCTGCAGCCACAGTGAGGCTGATCGGGGCCGGGGGTGATCTGCCTCTGCAGCAAAGGCCAGGCTGAGACGGGGAGATGTGTTTAGGGACCAGGGTCTGCCCCCTTTCCAGCCATGGGGACTCTGCAATGACTCTTCAAACCCACATGGACTCATGACTCCTTCCCGCCCAGGGAGCCACGAGCCCTCACATTTCCCTTGGCCTTTCTCCCCACGAGCCAAGTGCTTTACCCTCTGCTG